CTCCTCCCTCCTGCCACATTGACTAGTCTTATTTCAAAGTCATCTGCTTTTCCATCTGTGGGTCACGAAGTCATTGCTGCACACCATCAATCCATCATCGACGTTTCCTCGCAGCTGCGTTAGCTGACAGCTCTGAATCACTGGTGCTGAGAAGATGCCAGGGGAGCTGGTGCTGTCAAAATACAACTGGAGACAGCCCACGATTGCCGATGGCTGCACGAATGTACCTGTGCCGTGCCGGAGGCCCGTCTGTCCTGCTGGCTGCTGCAGGGAGGGATACATGGAGATGTAGGGATGTCATATCAGGAGGCAGATGATTTATGTCAGAGGATTACATATGACCCTGTATTAAGATCAAGTTTTGCTTGAGTAACCCAGAGCCTCAAAGCTTTAGAGAAAGGTAGCCTCTCTGCTATAAATTTGGACCAAAAGGAGAACACCAATATTCATTGAAGCATCTTTGATAATGGCAAAACAACAACAAAAAACGGGATCATAACATGAACTGTAGTACTTTCATAGTACTATTAAAATCTGATTAAAAATAGGTAGACATAACTGGATTCTCATAATAAACTGGTTATAAAATTAGATTACAGAATTTAAAGTACCATATGAACCTATTTTTGTTTTAGAAAAGTATAGATGGATAGATGGATGCATGGTTGGATAGAAAGATCATAGATAGTTGTGTAGAAAGGAAGGTATATGTATAGCTAGATGAACAGACAGATGGGTGAGATAGACAAAAGACTAGACACCTTACCAATATGTTAACAGTGTTTATATCTGGATGGAGAAATTTAGAGTAATTTTTAAAATTTCTCACCTTTATTTCCTGATCATTGAATAATAAATTTATGTTGCTCTTGTTAATACATAATTATTAATACCAACAATTCTAACATTCAAAGCCAAGAACTCATCTTTGATTTACATTTCCTCTTTATTCTTCCTGAGGGGTGTTCATATCATCCGTCCATCTATCCAGCCAGCCAGCCAGGAGGCAAAATGTATTTGGATTTCAGGTTGGCATTTTTGTAAATAACACACGGTGATATTTTTATATCCATTTCATATGCTTTCATGACTCTGGATTGTTTTTGTTTTTCATTTCTTCTGTAGACCTTAGAGCTGCATTCTACCCTCTACCGTACCATCCGTATTCTCCTGATCAATACCTACTCATGCTCCAAGAATTTCTTCAGATCTCACCACCATCCCCCTTTTCTTTGTTGTTGCTTTTAACCCCTCCTTCTACCCTCTTCACCCCACACCACCTGAGTTCTCCCATTGGACCTATACCTCATTCTATTTGGAAATTTTCAATCTGTATGGTTATTATCTATGTACTTTCTGTCCCTTAATCAGACAAGGCTCTCAATGATGCCCATTTTGCTTTCATCTCTGTATCAGTGCCTAGTTGCCTAATAAAAGCTCACCTGCTTCTGCTACAAATATGTTCCCATCAGCCTAAGAGGAAGCTTGCCTAAAAACCTTGATGTCATTCACTTACTCAACAGGCATTTACTGAGCATCTACTATATGACAAGTATAGAGTTTAAAAAGGTACAGTCTTGGGCCGGCTGAGTGGCGCAATGGTTAAGAACTCGCTTGGGATGCCAGAGGGCCCCGGTTCGGATCCCACATATGAGGGCCAGTGACACTGCCCTCCACAGCTAAGATGCTGAACAACA